CAGAGAGGTAGAGGAGTAGAGGCTGGCCATGACCACGTGGAGAGAGGGGGAAGGAAAGTGGGGAGGGGGCAGAGGACAACCTGCAGACACAGGAGTAAGAGGGCAAGAAGAGAGGAGGGGGCAGGCAGCTCCTTTTATAGTGGGCAGGCCTACCTGGCTATTGCCAGGTAACTATGGGGAGGAGCATATCTGGCTGTTGCCAGCTAACTGTGGAGGTGGAGTTTAGACAGAATACAAACACCTTTTCTGTTCTGATTTTGTTAATTTGGATACTGTCTCTGTGACTTTCAATCAGTTTGACTAAGGGTTTGACTATCTTATTGATTTTCTTAAAGAACCAGCTATTGGCTTTGCTGAATCTTTGTATTCTCTTTTGTATTCTCCTTGTTTTTAATTGGTTGATTTCAGCCCAAAGTCATAGTAATGTATCTTTTATGATACATTTAGACATACATGTTCAGAGTTGAGACATTATCTTGTTGGATTTTTTCCTTGATGAGTACAACGTGTTTGTCTTTCATCTCTTTTGATTACTTTTGGTTGTCTCTTTAATCAGATATTAGAATGGGTACTCCAGCTTGTTTCTAGTGTCAGTTTGCTTAGAAAATCTTTTCCTAGCTCTTTATTCTGAGGTAGAGTCTATCTTTGTTGTTGAGGTGTTTCTTGTTTGCAGCAGAATGATGGATCCTGTTTACATATCCAGTCTGTTAGTCTGTGTCATTTTCTTGGTGAACTGAGTCCATTGATGTTGAGAACTATTAATGACCAATAATTGTTAGTTCCTGTTATTTTTATGTTGGGCATGGTACTATGTATGGATGTGTGATCCTCTTTTGGCTTCATTGTGAAGTTATTAATTTGTGTTTTCTTGGGTGTAGTTACCCTCTTTGTATTGGTGTTTTCCTTTTGGCATCATCTGTAGGGATGGATTAATAGAAAGATATTATTTAATTTTTTTCATGGAATATCTTGGTTTCTCCATTTATGGTGATTGAGAATTTTGCTGGGAATAGTATTCTGGGACGGCATCTGTGATCTGTTAGCATCTGCAAGTCATCTGACTAGGAGCTTCTGGTTTTTAGAGTTTCTGTTGAGGAGTCAGGTGTAATTTTGATAGGTTTGGCTTTAAAGGTTACATGGGCTTTTTCCCTTGCAGCTTTTAATATTCTTTGTTCTGAAGCTTTAGTGTTTTGATTATTATGTGGAAGATTTTCTTTTCTGGACAATCTATTTGGTGTTCTGTAGACTTGCATATTTATAGCCATCTCTTACTTTCGGTTAGGGAAGTTTTCTCCCATGACTATGTTGAAGATGCTTTGAGTTGGAAATCTTCATCCTCTTCTATTCCTACTGCTCTTAGGCTTGGTCTTTTCATAGTGTCTGAAGTTTCCTGGATATTTTGAATTAGAAACTTTTTACATTTGACATTTTCTTTGACCAATGTAGCAGTGTCTTCTATGATATGTTATATGCCTGAGATTCTCTCTTCCATCTCTTGAATTCTGTTGGTGGTATTTGCATCACTAGTTCCTGTTCTCTTTCCTAGGTTATCTATCTACAGGGTTGCCTCCATTTATGTTTTCTTTATTGCATCTACTTCCATGTTTAGGTCTTGAGCCATTTTATTCTTATCCTTCACCTGTTTAATTGTATTTTCCTGTATTTTAAAAAGGGATTTATTTGTTTCCCCTTTAAGAGCTTCTACCTGTTTGATTATATTTTCCTGTATTTCTTTAACTGGTTTATATCCTCTTTAACAACTAACCCTACCTCTGATGCCCAGAGAAGGAAGAGTATCCCAAAACTCCTTTCTGGCTAGAACCTGACTGTTAATGAGAAGGAAAAGACATCAGTGAATGAGTGTACTCTAAACTCTGACTTTTTAGGGGGAATTAAAAAAATAAAGAGTGACCTGTGTATAAATTGAGTTCACTGATGAACTTTGTAGATGTTGTAGTCACAGCACAGAAAAGGATGGAGAGAAAGAAAATGAGACCTTTCCTGCATTGACAAGTAGTTGGCATTAGCAATGTCAGGAATGAATTTTAGATACTCAGTAAAATTCCAGACTGGCCATTTTGGGGTGGTCACAGGCCAAGGCAGTTCAATGAGGAACTTAACTTATTTCCAGAAGACAAATCAACCAACATAGAAGATCTGGACAAACAGGTGTCACTATGCCTAGCCGGAATGTTATTTTTCCTGTCTGAATATGCACAACTTGAGAGA